CTAAGGGGTGTCCATGGGCCTAATTAGCAGCTTCTAGCGGAGTTCTTGCAGTTTTTCACATTTTGGAAGTAGCGCAGCCTCAAAAATCGCCTTTCGGATCGTCCGACACATTTGAGAGGTCATAGCCTTATTTTATTGCGGAATGTGCCTTTAGATACTCTTTCTCCGTGTGAAGTGGATCTTTCTCCACACACCATTGAAAAAAAAGAGATTCAGTCGGATTCCGTCTTCGCCTTAAGATCCTCTTTCCCCGCGTGAAACAGGGGCTTTCTCCACACACTTTAAAAAAACAGAGATACAGTCCAATCAGAAGTCTTCGCCGGCACATCCGCGTTCTGCGTGCGAAGTGGGTCTCTCCCCACATATTGTAAAAGAATGGAAATTCTCCGCACATTCAAAAAATAGAGACCCAGTCAGATCAGCCGTCTTCGCTGGCAGATACAGTGGGTCTTTCTCCACAAATCATCAAAAAAAAGAGATCCAGTCGGATCAGCCGTCTTCGCCTTAAAGACAGTATCCGCGCTCGAGAGGCCTTCAAAATAACTTCGCGCCTTCTGGAACCCTCGCGCCTTGATGAAGATGATCCCGCTTTTATCCATCAATGGCGCGCGATGAGGAAGTTACCGCAATTTCGACAAGGCTCGCTAGGCTCACGGAGACGGTAGGTGGACGAGGCGTCTGGTCCCGAACTGCATCCGCCCCTTTAAAGCCCGCGGGTCCCTTTAAGCCCGCGGTCCCACTGGCATTTGCCAAAAGTTGGCTACATAGCCTCAGCTAAAGGTCTTACTTGCGGTCAGGCTTGTAAACATGTGTGAAAGTGGGGAACCATTAGAGTTTTTTTTCTGCTTATGGAATGTAGTGCTTGCTTTTCAATGGTAGGGAGATTGTTGTCAAGTGGAGTTTTGGTTATCATTTTCCTTTCTTTTTTCTTTTTTTTTTCTTTGTCAATTTTCTCAATGAAAACTCCCAGCAACCTTCCAATTTTCTCTGTAAGCAACTCTAATCATCCCATCGTTGGAAATTGCAGTACGTTGCGAAGCGGCGCTGTAGCGCTACAAGTATGAACGCTGCCTTACGTTCGAAAGTATCCTATTTCGAAAGTTTGGGACGCATGCGGCTGCCGCATCGAAATTCTGGCAGCCACGCCCGGCACACTCGTCCAGGCCCCGCCCCACTGGTAAAGGTAGGTTCGGGTTCAAGGTGTTCCCGAAGATTGTTTCTGCTTCTTTTTCTACTGAGAAAGCTAACTATGGAATACTGGTCATGACAGGAGTACAATTGCCCGCAATACTTGATCGCGATAATTGCACAGGGGCTTTTCTCGCACACACGTTAAAAAAATAGAGATCCAGTCCGATCAGCCCTTCGCCGGCACATCCGCGTTCTGCGTGTGAAGTGGGTCTCTCCCCACATATTGTAAAAAATGGAAATAAAGTCGGCATCAGCCGTCGTTTGCCGGCAGATCCTCTTTCTGCGTGTGAAGTGCACCTTTCTCCGCACATTATCAAAAAATAAAGATCCAGTGGGATCAGGCGTCTTCGCCGGCAGATCTTCTTTCTGCGTGTGAAGTGGGTCTCTCCCCACTGCATTGTAAAAAAAATGGAAATAAAGTCGGATCAGCCGTCTTCGCCTTCAGATCCTCTTTCTGCGTGTGAAGTGCATCTTTCTCCGCACATTATCAAAAAATAAAGATCCAGTGGGATCAGCCGTCTTCGCCGGCAGATCTTCTTTCTGCGTGTGAAGTGGGTTCCCTCACGCATTTCCGAGAAAGGGAGGACTAGCCAGATCAGCGATCTTTGATCCAGTCGGATCACACTGTTTCGCTGGCCAATTCTCCTTCTGCGTGTGAAGTGGTTTTCTCTCTACACATTTTCAAAAAATAGCGGGTCGGATTGGCCGGCTTCGCCGGGCAGGCCGGGTGTGAGTGGAAGAAGTATCCATCTACCAATGTGCAGAGAGCTTAGTACTTTTACTGAAGCCCAGCCCGCTGCGGTCGCATGTGCTTCCATCCGCCAATCAGGTTCCTATCGTTACCCACTTTTCTCTTTCCGAGCTTGCTTAAAACTGAGTTACTGAGCTGTGATTCGAGCTCCGTTCGCTGCATGTGTGCTTCCATCGCTCGTCCTTCTGTTCATTCGCTCACGCCTTTCAGTTGCAGTACGATTTGCCCAATATGGGCGTGTCTCCTTCATTTCATGCGCCTACCCATTTGCTATCGTTCCCCACATTCTGTGTCTCCGCTCTCTTTTGGAATCGAATTTTTTGTAGCAAGCACCGCCTATCTATAGTAGACCCCGCCCGGCATGGGTGTCTCCCCTTATTTTCTTGCGCTTACCCATTCCCTGTCGTTCCCCACGTTTCCCGCTTTCCTGGCTCTTTTGGAAGGGAATTGCGAATTTTGAAAACTTCGAAGCAAGCACGCTCACCCGTAACAAGCCCCCCCCCTCCACCCCTCCCAGTATGGATGTGTTTTCCTCATTTCGTCAGCCAACTGACTGCCTATCGTTCCCCTTTTACCGCTCTCCGGACTCTTCTAGAACCGAATTATGAATTTTTGAAACAAGTAGCCCCCAACTGGCGCACGCCCCGCCCACGGTGGGCGGTGCTAACTCGGTCTGTGGGTGTTCCGTACTTATTGGTCCGTGCCCTACCCAACCCACCCTTGAAACGCTCGGCTGGATTGTAAATGCATATGCCTCTACTCAGTGCAGAAAAATATTTCCAAAAAGCGCTCCGTCTTGAAAGCCGCTGATTGGGGTATTCGGAAGATAGGTGCAGTAAAGGGTAGGAGTGACGATATCTGCACGATACCCGGGGTCTCGAAAGCCAGGAATCCAATAACGTCCTGTCCTGGTCGCCTGAAGGCGGAAACCCGAACGTCTCGCCTCCTATTGGCATTGTAGCGGTCAAGACGTGAACGCATCGATCCGGGCGCCGGCTGAGCGCACACCTTCCCAGAAGGTCCTAATAGCTATCCGCAATGTAAACGTGACAGCATCGAATGTGATTCTATGGAGTAAAAAAATTTAGGTGAAGTAAGAATAGCTATGCAATTTCTGGGAAAATCATCTAAATATTGCATAAGCTTACAGAAATGTCCTGCCGAAATTAGCGTGCACACTCCTCCTGGTGCTTGCAAATCCCTTGCTGAGACCGCCGCAAATAGGCGGGATCTACCAACATTACGACCCCTGTAATCGTCCGTCCTGCTCCAGTTTGAAAGTTGCTTTTTTGTGAGAATTGCTTCAAAATTCAATTAGCCCATTCACACTCCCTTTTATCCGAGAGAAAATAAAAACAATCAAATGTTGTGCTCTTGCAAGTCGTCTTAATATTTAGAGTGAGCACTCTTAGTTGTTGATGGCATAACCCTTTTCCTAAGACGTTGCTATTCGAGCAATGAAATAGTGCTGTTAGTTCAGCGTGTTCATGCGCCACGTTTCGTTGCTCAAGCTTGTTCTTACTTTCTTTCTTTTGGCAGCATTGGTGTCTACTTGCTTACTTCTAGCCGGGGTTTTTTTGGCGAAATTTCATCTTTCAGGAGCCGAGTGGTCTTGCGGTGTACTATGACTGATAACAAGGATGAGCTTGTGCAGAGGGCGAAGCTCGCTGAACAGGTTTGTGTTCGTAACTGCGTTCACTAGTGCTGGTCCTTTATGAAATTCCAGGCGGAGAGGTATGACGATATGGCACAGTCTATGAAGAAGGTTACCGAGTTAGGGGCAGAACTTTCAAATGAGGAGCGCAATCTTCTTTCTGTCGCCTACAAGAATGTCGTTGGTGCTCGCCGTTCGAGCTGGCGTGTCATCTCATCTATTGAGCAGAAGACGGAAGGTTCTGAAAAGAAGCAGCAAATGGCCAAAGAATATCGCGAGAAGGTCGAGAAGGAACTTCGAGACATTTGCCAGGATGTATTGGTGGGACTTTTCTTACATTCACATTGACTGAGGCATTCTAAAGTACTATGTTGCAGAATTTGCTGGACAAATTTCTTATCCCAAAGGCCGGTAATCCTGAGTCGAAAGTGTTTTACCTTAAGATGAAGGGTGACTACTACAGGTACCTCGCTGAGGTTGCATCCGGAGAAGACCGTAGCTGTAAGTTTCTGGGCAATTTTTGTGTCGTGCTCCAACATGTGGCAGCCTGACTTGACGTAGGAAAGCGGTGGGCCTTGGCGGATGGCCGCGAACGGGAAACAGATTCTGACTAGTAAGGATGTCACTGTTGAGCGCTGTCCTTGGTTGGTTTTGTCGTTATTCTTGTGATTGCAGCGGTTGTCGACAAGTCGCAGCAGTCATACCAGGAAGCATTTGACATCGCCAAGGACAAGATGCAGCCCACTCACCCCATCCGCCTTGGCCTCGCCTTGAATTTCTCAGTGTTCTACTACGAGATTTTGAATGCCCCTGATAAGGCCTGCCAGTTGGCTAAACAGGTGATTTTTTAATTCTAGCGGTGGCGAGTATCGGTCAGAGCAGCTATGCTGAAGCACTCGAAATCGCTAAAGAGAGTTTGACGACCACTCATCCAGTCCGTCTCGGTCTTGCTTTGAACTACTCTGTATTTTTCTATGAAGTTGCGTCAAGTCCTGATAGAGCTTGCCAACTAGCAAAGCAGGTGTATTGCCTTCGTAAGAGCTTGTTTATGGCAAAGTATTCCGCATGTTTAGGCATTTGATGATGCGATCGCTGAGCTCGATACCTTGAATGAGGATTCATACAAGGACTCAACGCTCATAATGCAGCTGTTGAGGGATAACCTCACTTTGTGGACCTCTGATGCTGCCGCAGATGATCAAGATGCAGGAGAGCAAGGCGAGGGAGCGAATTGAACGCATGTGATCTGATTTATTTTTATCATTTATTCGTTTTAAATGTATAGAAGTAAATCTCTTAGTTCTCCATCTACATCGTGTAGTGCTGTGGTCACTTTCATGCTTGTGACTAATAAGCTTGAATCTTTATGTGTGGGTCCGGCATACGTTAGAGCATTCGAACTACGTACTCGGCTGTTTTGATTTGTGCTCCAGTCTCATACGATTTCTCGATATACGGATGTGTTTGAGTGTGTTGATGGCTATTGCAATTTGTGGTTCTCAGTGCTATGCTCGTAGCTTTCCGCCACAATAAAGTGCACCAGTGGAGAGCATAACTGTTCTGGTGTATTCCAGAATAATGAAAACTGCCATATGATCACTACTTATAAATAGATCTACGTAGGCTGTGAACAGTCTAGGATGGATGTGGTGGCGTTTGAAAACAGGTAAAACAACCCATTTGGAAAGTATTCCAACTTATGCAAGTTCGTGAGGGCTATTATGGATTGTCGGGCCTGATCTACCTGACCTAGACCACTGCGAAGCGGATGCGGAGCCAGGGTACAGCATCGTTGTGTCAAACCCATAGGGGGTCGTACCTGGCCGATGGAGAGGGGGGGTTTCGTAATCTCAAGAGTCACTCAGAGCCGAGCAATGGTTCGACATTTCAGTTGATAGTGGGAGTGGAGCTATGGAAGTCAAGATGTTTAAAAAAATGAAGTTTATTACGAGTGTATCCTTTGCAGCTTTAAATGCTACGTTTAACAGCCCTCTTTTCATGGGAATCCCCAAGAGTGGGTTCGTACTTGGCCGCGGGGGACGTGGGGAGTATCGCAAAAGGTAGGCTCGCTTAGGCATCAAACAGTAAAGGTGTCATTGCTAAGGGTAATGGAACGGACGGAAAGCTTCAGAAGACCCGGATGTAAATAGGAATACAAAATAATAAAATAGATTTATTAGCAATATAGCAAGAATAAATAAATAAATAAACAAGTGTCAGTTTATAGCATGGACTCGTAAGTACGTAGATGACTTAATAATACGTCTCAAACAGATTCGTGCGTGTTGTCCTTTACAAACCTTAAACAAACATCTGCTTGTCATGGATAAAAGCACACTGAAATTAGAATTTACACCTTTCCACCACCTCTCCGTAGGAGCCTAATGCACGGCGCACGGACCAAATCGAAGCGATAGCCGAGCTTCTCTTTCACTCATTTGAAGGGAAATATGTCTTTTGAAGGCACAATGAAATCCGAAGGTGTATTCCTACAATGGCACATAAGAAGTCAATTTTTCGGGTGGGTCAGAGTTGGCGCATCTGTGACCCACCTAAAATATCTCCCGAACTAGTGGGCTCTCAGAAAAACTGTAAAGCTTATTGGAAGAGAAAAGATGAATTTCAAGACGACTTCAGTCCTGATGAAATTGCGTGTTGAACGAGGCAGTCCTTGTGTGAACATGGAAACCAGCTCGCGATTTACCCTGGCCGAACCGTGACCCATCGCGAATATTTCACCAACGGGGATTGTTCAGTTTGCAGCTAGGCAGAATACACAATAGTAGAAACTTTGCCGTTGCATGCTGCTCACCATTTCTCAAACCGCACGCTAAAAAAGATATAACCCCCGAACAGACCCCAGGACGTTGGCAAGTCCAACAAGCCCGCTCCAATGACGTTCTTCCAAAGAAAGCGGTCGAAGCCTTGCGTCCTGAAGCCGTGATCGATAATAGCCAAGTATGGAACGATTTTACTGCTGGCCTGGTTATCTTTTTTTCATTTGGCTCTGCATTTTTTGTATTTTCCATGTTTCGCTTTGTTGTGTCGTGCATGTTTTCATTATTTCCGTCACCATTCATTGAATGCACATGGGCCCTGACACGCTCACCTTGGGGCTATTTTTTCACCAATTCAGCCTATCAATGATCACCATTAGCCGCTATTTCAATTGTGTCTCTTGTTACAAGTTGCATGTCATACATACTTATCGAACGAGGAGTTTTATTTCGAATCCTAAAGACAAAAATTGTAGGTAATGCGAGGCTGTTGTTCAGCCTCAGATTGCATGAGGCTGAAACAGCCTTTTATTTCCTGGTATTTTAGAGCAGAGTGCGCCTTTCGAGAATTTCCAGATTCGCGTGTGTGCGAGGAAAGCCATTTGTGGTGAGCATGCATCTCGTTGTCAGTTAGAGCAGGAGGGGGGGGGGTCGTACCCACACCGCCATTTGACACATCCCCATGCTGTACCCTGTGCGGAGCAGCAGTGGTGAATCAGGACAGTTTTCTAAGACGCGAAGTTTGAGAATGCAACATTGTCAGGTGAGGAACTGATGAGGGTTTTCTCTAGCATTGGTCTGTGTAGGTGGTGAGACCGTGGCACATGGTTTACGTGAATATGACACTTGTTACCTGCGTGACTGGGTGCTACATATAAGTGCCACAACTTCCCGTATTGTTTTGTGGGGCTCCACGTTCATTACGCCCGGTTCGAGTTGCATGACTGGCGGATGGTAGTATGAAAGAATGGACCGGCCTGTAATGCTACTTAGCGGAGTAGTGGGAACGCATTTAAATCTTGGAAAGTACTTGCGCCGTCAAATAACTTGTGTGCACATCATACATGCAATGCTACGCGCAAACGTTTGAATCTGTCTAATCCAGGTCACATCGTTGTTGGGGATTACCCAACAGGGGGTCGTATTTGGCTGCTGGAAGAGGGGGGGGGGTCGTAATTAGTCCCTCACTCAAACGAGCAGCGTAAAGGTGTCAGTAAGCTGGTCCTGTATAGCGAAACTTGCTTTGTAGAGAACCCGGATGTGTAAAAAAAAACAAATATAACAAAAATAGTACGAAACTTTCATCAACTGAGCTAAGCCAAATTAACTGAAAACATTAATAAATTGGCATCATTTCGTGAGTACATAGATGACTAAGCAGTAAAACTAATACCCTGGTTCGCTGCGGATGATGGGGCGTGTCCGAGCGACCGCGCTTGGTACGGCGCCAACCTGTTTTTTTTCTTTCGACAAACGACAAGACTACCATATCGTTCATATCAGACGTTTTCCTGCAGTTGGTCTCCTTTATCGGACTTAACACGTGATGGAGCACGGATCTGACGGCGCGTGGTTGCTGTTCTCCGTTGCGGATGATGGGGCGGACACCCCTCATCATCCGCAACGAACAAGACTGTAAGCAAGTGCACAGGTTGGCCATGGACCTACCCGAATCCTAAACCACAACTGTAGTAGACAGGCATTTCGTAGAACTTGCACCATCCTACTACCTCTGCGTGGGAGCCTAAGCATGGCGCATCCAGAAATGAAGCTAATGGCGTCAAACTAGCTACTGTTTGTTCCTATTCCACGAACTGATGCATTTTAGATGCATTTCTGGATATCCGAATACGCTCACTTGGAACGGTACACAGAAAACTGGTTTTTCGCGCTGCTCTGAGTGTTGCTCAGAAAATCCCCACGCGTTTTTCTCATGAATCCCGAAAACTTCAGGAACAAGTGAAGTAGTTAGTGGGAAGAATGAATCCTCTAGTATTCGACGCTGGGTCCAGATTTGCAAACGATTGAGTTTTTAGAAGATATATTCGTTCAAACCAGGACAGTCTCGGTCTTTTTGCATCCAATTTTGAAAATCCCCAACCCATCGCCAACGCTGAATTTCTATCTGAACTTAGCAACCTAAAAAGCATTTCAGTACTTTTCGGGAAGCTCAAATCTTTTTTGACACGACTGCGTTTTCTTCTTTCCTAACACTCTGCATTAAAGAAAGTTATAACCCTCCAAAGACAAGTTGGTTTACTTAAGGGGTCTGAAAAAACGCGCCCCAACGCAATCAAAGCGGGAAGCACATTCAAATGGCAGTTCTTCAAATGGCATGGCTGCCAGTTCTTCCCGCGCGCGCGAATTTGAACGCAACAGTCTGTAGGTTGGAGCACAGCATCTTGTGCGGTCTGGATCAACAGAGCGATTCTCTTTACCAGGAGTTTTCGAAGAGGATGAGGACCCCTAACTCGCTTACTTAACACGCAGTGGTAGAAAATAGTGAAAGATCGTTATAATTTTTGAATTTCCACCTGTTTAAAGTCGGGCCTTATGGTTTTCCATCTTCATTGAAGTAACACATGTATTAGAACATCGGAGTTCATCTACACTGAATTCCTGTACTAGTATCCTGTTTTGTGAACCTACAGAATGTTTGGAAATTAAGTAGTATAGAAATTCTTGGGCCGAGTGATGTTCAGTGCTGTAAGGTGCTCAGAAGCCAGGGAGAATTTTTAGCTTGGCACTTGTTTCCTTCCAGGTAGGTGTTGGAAGAAAACGCAAATAAAAAGGCAAAAAAAACCACGAACCTCATAAGGGGGGGGGGGGGGTCGTATCAATGCGCATTCTGGGGGGGGAGTCGTACAGACTCGACCAAAATCCCCAACCAATGATGTGCCCTGGTCTAATCACGCCTCGTGAGGGGAAACGCTGTAAGCGGTTGGGTGGTGTGGTTGACTTTGCTCTAGGGTGACTCATGCCTTTTCAGGGCGGAGCGACAGTCAGCTGGATCGAGGAGACGTCTCGCCGCACGGGTTGAGGACAGCTGCCTCTACCCCTCCTTCTGTCTTCATGATGGCGACGCCCTCAATCACCAGACCTGCTTGATCTCCGTTTTTTCTTATTTGCATTGTACTGTTTATTGTTCGTGTAGCTTGTCTTACTTCCGAATGAGTTTGCCTTCGTAAAATGCCATGTATTTCATCGTTATGAATGCAGCATGTTGACTTCTTTCACCTTTTATTCATGTACTTATGTGCCAGATAAACTTTAGTACTTATCGGTGTCGAAGCAGGTGATGGTGCAGCTTTCACTGCGCGGCGCTCGCTTACTGGTAGCAGCGAGTAGTTCCCCCATCGCTGAAGTTGCAACTTAGGAAGAGTCCCCCTTTCATATTTGATTTTTCGAACTAGCTCGAATGTGGCCACTTCGAGTTAGTCATTTCACCTCGAAGATCAAAAAGGCGAAGATGACTGTGGCTAATGTCTCCAAAGAAAGACTACAGTAACCCTATTTTTGATCTGGGCACGTAGCTGTCAATTCTGCAGCCTGCGGAAGTCGTCCGCGTCTCCTTTCTTTCCTTTCTTCTTTGGTCGTCGCCCAGATGCCGTTTCTTCTTTCTTCAACTCGTGAGTTTATAGAGACGTCACTGTAGCCTTTCTTTTGTCCGGTAGGAAAGTAGAATGCTTGATTAAGCGGGGGCTTAAAACGCGTTTGTCAAAAAAATCAGAATAAAGAAAATGGTCTCCGGGGACGTTGGTCAAAGACATAGACTTGTGAGTGAGTGTCGCCGAGTTGCAGAGAAGAGTTTGGCGTTAGTAGCGCCCATTTCAAGTGGAGGAACAAGTGGAGAAGTACAGTACCACCGTGGCTGCGCAGTGAAAATCGACGCTGAGAAGAAGCGACAGGGTTCGCGATGTCAAAGGACAAGTTGTAGAGGATCCGCGGAAAAGGTATGGTTTTGTTGCAAGGAGAAGTTGAATTACCTAGAAAGTAGAGGCTCGGAGTATTTGTATTTGGTTCCGTAGCGCATATGTTTATGTTGTTCTGTGTTATCAGGTGTGTGCCATGTTTTTCATTTCATCTTGATCGAGTTCTTCATAAGTTCTCGAAGCTCTTGACCGTTTCTTTTATTGGTGGGTCGTGGGGTTGCTTAGTCACTGATCGTCTTGGTCTCTCATTAGGCCGGTTGGCTGTCACACAGCCCTATTGTCGATATATCAAAACGCCCCATTGATTTCCGAGACTCCCCCCCCCCCCAGTTCCCCTATTGATTGGTTCAGGAACTGAGAGAGCTATCCACCTCCACACAAGGCGGGAGGTGGTTGGCGGTGTCAAAGACACCGGCCGCGCCATATAGAGCAGGACACACCACCGGTTTGCGGGTATCCTCTACCTTTACAGCAGAGGCGCCCGCAAACCAGGTGTGCGGCGAGAGGATTCGAACCAGCAACCCTCCTACCACGGGCAATCAATCCGAAGTGGCGACTCGCACTGCGCCATCGGGCCGGCATTGGATATCGTTAAGCCGGCAGCTAAGTTATGGCCGCCGAGCACGCGCCGTATCCAATAAGGCCTGCAGCGAACTATACAGCGTAGGTAATTGCTACATTGGTCTTTTCTGCAGTAATCTAGTAGTTCAGGCCTTCATATAGGTTCTCAAGAGTCGTGATATTTGTAAACCATTCCACATTTTCCTTTTGATCGAGGCCGTTGACAGCTATAAATGATACAATTCCTACTTGTTCTTCAACAGCTTGAAGAATAACGAACCCCTTTGCAACTTGTCTTCAGCACAATAGTGGGAACTCTGTTGGCATGTTGGGGTCCTATCCTCTTTCTCTCTTAGTTTGCCAGTTTTTGAAACTTTGTGTAGGTTGATACTGTTTCGCTTTGGCCCCGAGTCCGTTATCTGCGGTACGATCGTAGATAACGCGACTTTCTAGTTGTTATAGTGACACAACATGTGCAATGGCCTAATTTCTTTGATTGACGCTTGGGGCATTTGCTGGCAAGATAGTGTTTTATCTAGCATAATCCCGCTTGTACAGCCGATCTATGCTCCCATTGGCTAGGGTGCGGTAGGCACAGCCCCTTTCTCCTCGCACTTACAGTGCGTACATAAGCATGGCTTGTTCTCATTAAAGCTCACCCTTTCTGTTCTGGTTGATGAGTCAACCTGTTACTCGTTCACATTCTGGTTCCTCTGATTCAAGGGCGGTTGCTCCAGCACCCAGATCTGAGATGGACACGGTCGTCGTTCTGGCTACTAGTAAGCTGGTTCACGTCCTGTCAAATCTACCCGATGAGTCCTCCGTGAAAGGTAAGCACGCCAGGCTCTCCGTGATGCTACCGTCCATGCCATCAATGAAGTGTGGTCTGAGTCACAGGAAGCTACCTCCATGCTGACTCGCAGCATCACCGAAAGTAATACAGGTTTGTTATCCGACCTTAACCAGTCGTTTGCCGCTGTAGGTTAACGAATCAATAAGATTCCTCTGGTAGCCTCGCTTAGCCCGGACGGGCCTTTAGATTGTTCCTTTTATTGGGTCAGGTGAGGACCCCATGCAGTTTTCTATGTGGTCACGCCGTTTAGAGGATGTCATGAGGATGAGGTCCGCAACATGGACTTCTCAGCAGAAGGCTTACTTTCTCATAGGTTACCTCGATGGAGTGGCCGGAGAGAAAGTAGAAGAGCTTTCAGAACAAGAGCGGGGAAGCTTTGAGGGTATCGTGGCTCATCTTAAGAAATACTTTGAGGGCCCGCAGCACAGGCAGATGACCCGATAAGCTCCCTCCTCGTGCCAGCAGCAGACCGGTGAGTCATCAGCCACTTTCGCTAATCGACTCCTTACGTCAGTTCGCGCTCTACCACTGGACAAGATCCCTCTAGCCAAAAGGAGCGAGTCCTCGAAGAGTTCGTCACACGCCTTCGACCTGACATCAGGTATTATGTCAAGCTTGAAAACCCTACCTCTTTTGAACAAGCTTTATCTAAAGCCCAAATGGTAGAACAGCTATTAGCGGAAGCCACAGCTAACCGTCCCATATACCCATAGTTGCCCGCTAGGCCTATCGAGATAAAAGCAGCCATACACAGGGCTCCAACCCTAGACAACCTCAGTTACAACGAAGCTTTAACCGAGGACAGGGTCGTTTTCAGCAACGAAATACTTCCACGCGTTTTAACTCTAATCGTTCTTTTCAGCGACGGTTAAAATGATGGTTATCAGCGAACGGCTCCAGCGGACTATTCTCAAGCCTGCTTTAATTGTGGCGGCTTTGGTCATTTTGCCCGCTAGTGTCCGTCTACTAGACCTCTCTCTAGAGGTACAGGTATGCCTTCCTATTCCGTGCAACCTCGCACTTTTAATCGTAGAGCTCCTCGTTGTGCTGCTCCTGCTTTACGCGCACACCGTCGAGATTATTCACGCGAACTCACAGAAGCTCGTGACCAGATACGTGCTCTTTCTATTACTTTACGCGACAATCAGTCCGACCTGGAGCGATCTGAAGCTCGAACTAATGCCCTCATCAAGCGCAACAAGGAGCTGGCTAACACTTCTTTTGGCTGTCCGCCTTCACCAGATCTGTTTCATCGCACGTTTCTCAAGTGCGCTTTTGTTGGCCATATCAGCTTTTTCTCTTTGTGGTATCTCTAGCGCTTTGCCTACCACGGCTTGGCTCTGCCCACGAGATCGTTCTGATTCATTTGCGAGAACACCTTCTTACAACTGCTCTCGTATTCTTCCACGTTTTGGTGATACCGTGCGTCCTCTCGCACTCTACGTATACAGGCCCAATACTCAAAGGTATGAGCCGCCTGCTTTCCTCTGCAAAATACTTACGCGTTCTATAACTTATTCGGTCAGCTTTTTTGGAGATACGAAAACCATTCGGAATTACAGCAGATCGTATCCTCCGACGCTTGTAACCTCATGGTACAGCATCACAGATGTGCTTTTGGCGAGCTTCATCCTTCCGGCGATACCTGGTCCACTTCCAATGAGCTGAATATTTGGCCTTCGGCTCCTTTTGGGTGCTGTACTGAACATTTCGCCACAGTAAGTTTCGAACTGTTTCCTCATACAGACGACCGTTCATATGCGGCATGGCTCTCAGTCACCTGATTCACCTGCAGGAAGCCTCAGACATTGTAATCACGACGCTGGTAGTTGTACTCTTCGCGACGGATCCGCTCTTTTATGGACACCCAGTCCCGCTGAAAGGTGATGAGTCCGCTGTCCGGTCACCTCCTCGGCAGCATCTGAATCAGCGATTCACAGGAGTTTGCGTTATCTTGGACCAACTCCAGCGCCCGGGTGCACGACTGCGACGTGGACTTGATTCTCTCTGACCAGGGGTATGCGTTGATTCCTACAATCAGGTTAAGGCGCAACACGAGCTCTGACGCCAATGTCGTATACTCGAACCAGCTCGCGGCGCAACTCCTAGCAGTGGAAGGCTCAATAGGATCAACTGTAGCGGCTCTCTTTTATCACGCCCTTTACGCACTTTCCGGACTAACCTGCTGGCATTGAGCCTTCGCACCTCTAGCCAATCCAACCTTTACCTTGCGAAGTCTACTAGGACGTGATGACGTGGCAGCTTCATTTCTGGGCAGCGAGATCGTTCGCATCCATCACTGCATGCGAGTGCCCTCGTAAAACGTTAAGCTACGTCCGTTCAACGGACCCTGCTTCTCGCAGCCCATGGTTGAGCTCATTCTTCCCAGCGGCACTTCGTTGCGGTCTTTTATAGATCCCGCTACGCTGGTCATCACGCGCAATGCTCAGCCTGTGCCATGTTCCGCAGTCTCCCAATTTATGTTCGCTACTCCCACCGGCTACTTTGGGTACGATCCGCTATCTGGCTATGAAACTCGACTTCCGTCATTCGCCATAAGTGATCGATTTGCCGGAAACCATCCGAGCCGTGTCGGTCTCCCTACCTCTCACAATCTTTCATAATCTCGTCTTACCTACCCTTAGCGAGTTAGTTCAGAACCACCAGTGGCAGGAGCTGTGGTCAACGGTGAGTCATGATCGCCTTTTCTCGGCGGTAGCCATGACGCTCGTACGTCTATTTCGTCTTCTTCTTGTTCCTTTCCTCTTCTTTCTTGTGGAAATGGCTTTTCGGATCCTGGTCCTTTTATGATATTTGGGTATCGCTCTGTTCTGCTATCGTTACTCTTCATTCAATCAGTAGCATCGTTGTTTTTTATTGCAATACGTACTATCCAGGGCGGTTGCCCCAGTTTCAAGATAGGTTTTCTTGTTTCTATGGCCGTTTTCTGCTCAAATCCCGGTTCCTTGCCCAACTGCAAGAAGGTGTTATTCTTCCTGTACATGCGCCAGAGGTGACGGCCTCGCCGGACAATTTCACCCCACCGGAGCCAACCCCGCAATCTATTGAAGTCCAAGAGCACATTTACCCTACACTACGTGCACCGGACACCATCGAGCTCCTTCACCTAGCGATAGACGCCACTCACTCCTGGCCTCCTCGCGCTCGTATGAGCCCGGTAAACGCATTGGCTTTAACCGATTACGATCGGCTTTTCGTCGCACAGATCCCTATTAAGGTTAACAATATCCACGTATTAGCTCTAGTAGACACGGATGCCTCTATTACAGTGACAGCCGCGACTACAGCTCCTCTCTTCGGCATCTTCGAGATGTCCAAGAGTGAGGTTTCCTGTGCAGTGGGAATGGCAGGAATCCCAATTCACCTGCTCGGCATGGCTTCTCTTCATTTCGAGATCGGCTCTTTATCCTTTGACCACCGGGTCTATTTCGCTGACGCGGTGTGCATCCCCGATGCAGCCGGTTCTTACAACATCATTATGGGTGATAATCTCTTACGTCGCTTGCCTCCATGGACTATTGATTACGGTACTCGCACGTTCTCAATGGCCGATGAGTGCGCTTCGGCGAGCGATATAGCCCCCCTGCATTTCTCCGGAAGTTTCAGTTCGAGCAGCAGTGACTACCGTGCTCCCTCCGTCTTCTGAGACATTTGTGCAGTGTCGAACGGAGGCGGCCGACGACTCCCCTTTGATGCTGACTACCCCAGCAGCAAGCTCACTCTTGGTCACTCCGGCTGTCATTTGTCCCCAATCCGCGATGGTACTCATAGCTAATCCGTCCACTCGTCCAGAAGTGCTCTACAAAGGGCAAGACATATCCTCCGCTATACGGGTATACAAGCAGTGTGTGGACGCACTATCGATGTCTCCTACCCCCTTTAGCTCAGTACCGCTTGTTAGCCCACAGGGCTGATAGCCCCATCACACAGACTTGTTTGGAACACACTGCATTGATCTTTCGCACGCGGAAGTCTCTGAGGAAGAGCGCGCACAGTTGGCACAGCTATTTTATGAGTTTCGTGACCGTATCTCCACCAGCACCTACAACTTAGGTTCCGGTTTTTTTTTCGGTTTTTTTTTGACGAAGGCGAGATCGTTATTAAGACTACCGCGGACTTTCCGCAACACCGCTGCTGCGCCCCTCGCGTTCCACTGAAATTGCAGAAAGAGCTCGACGACCACATAAATAAGTTGCTTCAAGCAGGAAGGATAGTTGGAAGCGACACCCATTGGCCGCCACAATCACTGTTCCTCTTCAAGGAAGAAAGATGTCCTTTACGCGTGATGGCTTGACCTTTCGCACCGCTTAATGAGGCCCAGCCATATCGCAGATCAATCACTCTCTTTCACGGACTTGAGGCGAACATGCCTCGCCAGATTTTCTGGCACAAGTATTACACCACACTTGCGATTTGGCATACTGGCTACAGGCAACCTGCTCTGTATCGCCACGAGAGTGAGAGAAAATGCGGATTGGCTGAACGCGCGTATTTATGCAGTTCGTCTACACTGCCTTTCGCATGGAGAACGCCGGCGTATTTTTGTCGCGGCCATGGTCCCGCAAACTTTTGCTTGGCCCTCGAAACAATTGTTTAGCTTAGTTTAGATCGATATCGTTGTCTTCGACAAGGATTTCCCCATGTCACCCTCGAAATTCTTTACGTAAGGTTTTTCACCCATTTTCTGGTTGCACAACATATAATAGAGCAATCAGGAGAAGGAAGCTGCCCTGAAATAGCTCGCTCAAAAATCTAACTTTTTAGGAACGAACTCTCCGGCAATTCGTCATGCACCAGCGAGCGCCGAATTTCGTTCTATCCGTATTTCCGCTACTCCCGTACGACGAAGGCAAGTTAAAGGATACGTTAGGCGTATTGGCTAATTTTTTTCGCAAGTTTATTTGCCTATCTGTCGCTTCAATCAGCCTCTCCGCTATTAACGTCACTCCTCGAAAGGTAAGGCAAATTTGTCTGGGGGCCCTAGCAAGAGGAAAGAATTTCAACGCTTGATCCTGCTTGCTGACATCAAAGGCCATGTTTGGCTTTTCCCGCAGGTATAGAAACTTCTTCCTGCATACCGACGGAAGTCAACTCGCTGGTGGTAAGGGGTTCGATCACTCAGAGGAATGTGAGGCTAGCTCTCAAAGCAGAAGTGTAGTCCAACGAATAAGAGCTCTTTTGCTATAATAAGTTCTGCTTGAGCGCAGAAACAAGGACGAATTTTTGCTGCCAGGCATTTTCTCTTTCGTAGAGACTCAGCGCTCCCCCGGCTGCGCGTAGACGAAGAGCAGAAGGCTTCCCTGGGCTCCTTCGATCTGCCAGAAAACTGCCCACATATAAGCAGAAATCGCTGCTCCGTAGTTACAGCACTCGCTGACCACTACATCAGTGCTGGCGTAAGATTCGACACTGCTGGTCGTCCCCGAAAGACTCAGGGAACTGTGTTTCTGCGCTTTTCATTCAGGCCATTAGCTGGCGGCCAACTTAATTGGCGCCAAGCATGCTCGCTTAAATTCGCGCCAGCACGCATGATGTCGACGGAATGTCTTCGCGTCTCGTGCCGAGCTTGCGAAGAAGGCCAGCGCAAAGCGAACGCAACAGCTTAAACGCGAGCTGCTTAGAGCCACGTCACTAGCGGCACCCATCTTTGATCAAATTGTACGTCGATCTCACAGGACCTCTCCACACTCGGGAACGCGGCAACATAGCTACATTCTAGGCATGACATCGATCACTTCTCTGAAGTACGTGATCGCAGCTAACTCTCGATTGTGGCGGCTATCACTGCGGTAGCCCGAGCCCATCATGTTTGAGTGTTCCTCACGTTTTGGCGCAAATGACGCCAAGTTGTGTTCGACAATGCCTCCTACTTTAAAGGTGAGGTAGTCACCGAAGTAGGGAGCTTGTTGCGTATCAACCGCTATTTCACCACTCCGTATCACCACGAAGGTAACGGCGCTTGCGAACGAGTGTTCGCCACTTCCATCCCATGCTCCGCACCTACATCGCCGAAAACCAGCTCGATTGGGATCAATATGTAAAGTCCTGTGCGTTCATGTATAACACTTCGGTACACTCCAGCACCAATAACACCCCATTCTTCCTCGTGTTTGGCAGAGTTCCGGTTTTCAACATCGGCTTGCTCATCAAGCACGATCTGGAACGTCACCTACCTTCGTTCAGCGATGCTGGCGTTTACATGGAAAATCTGGTGTTCACCTTGCATGCAGCCTGGCGCTCCGCGGCTCAGTTCAACGATTGTCAGCGTGCGAAGTACAAACGGCATTACGACAGTACTCACTTCCAGCCCTTGTCTGTTAAGGTTGGTGACCGCGTTTACCTACGCGATCTCGCACCTGAACTCGGCCTGTTCTAAGCTGTGCAACCCCTGGCTGGGTCAGTTTCGTGTTATCGCGGTCGATCCCCCACATCTCACTATAGTGAGCATGTCGGCCCCGCAAAGCCCACCGAAGCGCGTGCATATGAATCAAGTAAAACCATGTCATGAACTATCAGGCCCCGTTTTTACCTCACCGTGGCATCCAGACGAGGAGCAAGCCGCTCTTTCCGCTGCCGAAGCATCGGACACTGCAGTACCTGGCTATTCGCATAGCGTAAGTAAAGAACAGGAAACTATTACAGATCAGTCAGAACCTACTCATTCTTATAATACTCGTTTCAAGTCTCGTCGCACTTCTATCTGACCGGTTGGTCCAATACACGCTTGTTTACGTCTCCACGACGTTTCGTCTTCGAGACGTTCTTTTTTTTCTGCCCTCGTGTGCTATTCTTCCTACGGCAGATGGCACTATTTTTCTTATCATTGCCTTTCCTTCAGCGACTTATCAGTCATATAGTTGCTCCGC